CTTTAATAATGACAGCTTAGGGCCTAGCGGAGTGGTTGAATTACCCTTATGCTAAATGGCCCCAGACCACTTCACTATTTTAGTTCTGCGTGCACGTTAAAATTTAATTTTGTTCTTTTATTTTCTGTCAAGCTGTCAAATTTTACTTGGTACAGATTTAAGAGTATTGCTTTCTGTATTAGTTTTTGTTTTTAGTATTGTTGCTTTTTAAAGAAACCTTTGAGAGTGAAATTCACATAACATTAACCATTTTAAAGTGAGCAATTCAGTGGCATTTAATATATTCACAATGTTGTGTAACCATCACCTCTATCTAGTTCCAAAACACTTTCATCACCCCAAAAGGAAACCTGTATCCATTAAGCAATTAAGGTACTAGGGATTTTGCAACAAATCTTATGCCCTTTTAATTTCTGCTCCAATATTCTGTGAACTTGGAACCTAGAACACCAGATGTGCTAGGCCTCTGTGAGGACAGGGCTAGCTAGGCTCTGTGAGCAGAGCTCAGGGCCTCCTGTTGGCAACATTCAAGGGCATGAGTGTAATTTCACTAACGTGATAATTTTTGGCTACTCAAGGAGTTTCTTACCCCCCAGCTTCCCACACACTTCATACTTCTGGATAATTGAAGTTGTTTAATATATGTGACTTATGAATGTATTTATTCCTTCATTTAGCAAAGCAATTATAACACGCTTACACATTATCATAGCACAGGATGCATTTCTCATATTGCTCATGACGGACTTCCACATGGGACTGTAGGAGCTGGTAAGAAAACTTGGAAAGCTTCCAGCCCAGTGGCTCTCGACCTAGGCTAGAAGACAGTTTTTTAAAAAGAAGATATCTGTCCAAATCCCAAACATATTGCATCAATATGTCGCAGGGCAGGGCCCAAGACTCTGTCTTTTTGAAATGTTCAACACATAATTCTGTTGTGGCTAATCATGTGTTTGGAAATCATCAGTCTGGCCAGCTTTTCTTAAAAACACATTTTAGGTCTGAAGATGAAGTGCCGTCATCCCATGGCCCAACATGGCTGACCTGTGGCATCCAGCAGCTCAGCAGCCAGCTCACCTGTGAAGGTCATGGACAGTGGCAGTGCCGGGAAAGCAGAGCACAAAAATGAAGCTGGTTGTAAGAAGGAGGAGGAGGCACCTGGTTAGAAACACACAGACTCTTTCGTTTCCTGTTCAATGGAGTTTTCCGTGAAATCTGACCTTCTCTCAAGTCAGGAGATGCAGAAGTCAGCAGATGGCAGGAGGAGATCACCACTTGCTTGCCTGGGGCTTCCACACGTGATGGGTGTGCACGCCAAGACTTGAATCTTGGAGAGAGCTGAATGTCTCTTGTGTTCACGCTGCCAATTCCAAGGCCTAGATTTCCTGCACGACCTCTCCAAAGCCTGATAGCTTCTAAAAAAGGAGTTTATAAACTTCTGCTATGCCAGTGCAAGGTCACCAGAAGCCAGTGGCATTAACTGAGCCAGGCAGGATCAACCCTGTTTTTCCTGGGAGCCTACACCCACTCAGATGTATAAGAGTCACTGACAATTCACTTTATCACTCAAAGAATTTACTTCACAAAATCTTTTTTCCTTTCTATTTATTTGGTTAAATATCCCATAGTATATGATACCAGATATCAGATGGTCTCCTAAAACTTCTAACTGACACACAGTGAAACAGAGCGCTGCATTGGCTTGGGGTGTTTCTTCCTGATCATGCCACCAATTCCTCTTCTGGCACTGGGAAAGGGACAGAGGTGCAGGAGGGAGATAGGACTGGGTCCAAATCTTGGCTCTGTTATTCATTAGCTGTGTGCATTTGGGCAAATCAATTGACCTCCTGAAGCCTCGTTTTCCTCTTCTTCTGTAAAATGTGTTAGCAGATGCACTATGAACTCAATATATGGCAAAATTAGGATCAGGCAATTACTTCCTCTCACTGGTGTTTGGTTTCCTCATCTGTTAAATAGCCTGCAGATACAGGTTTTGCTTGGCCAGCATTTTTTTAAATTATGGATTTGAGCGTCTTTTGGGTAGGCCTATGCCCCAGTTCCTAGTTTTAAAGTTTAGACACCATCACACATTTAGGTTTTCTGCTAGGTCCTGATGCCAGCCCTGAGAGCAGAGAGAGGATCTCCAAGGTGGATATCATGGTGGCCTCCTCAGTGTCCACTCCTTCCTCTCTAGGTAATCCCCGCTATGTGTTCTGGTCCCCCCAATTCCCCACCTCCCCATTCTCCTGTGCAGTCACGTGCTCTACCTAGCACAAGCTGATTCCACCCTGGACTTTGGATAAGGGTGTGGGGTTTAGCCCTAGATTAATTGGCAGAGATGCACTCAGTGGATATCTATTAGTTGGTGGATGAGCTCATAACTTGTTTGAGGCCAAGGATACTTGAGGGGAGATGTTCCGAGAGTAAGGAAAAAAGCTTTCTCATTCTTCCTTTAGAACTTCCTTTCCTGGATATTGGTGAGGAAACAAGTTGCTCTGGGCCATCAGGCTGCCATCTTGTCATCATGAAGGAGAACCAGGCTGTGAACGAGGCTGCCACATGGAAGGCAAAGAGGAGAAGCAAAAAGACACTAGCTTCTCAGTGGCATTCATTACCCATTGAATTATTCTACCCATGAAGCTGAACTACTTCCAGACTTTCCATTGATATGAACCAATAACTTCTCTTATTACTTGTTAGTTTGAGTTGTGTTTTCTATTACTTACCCTGAACCCACTATGATTAGTTTAGTCTACAGGGTCCAAAAGTTCTCAGATTCATTTGCGAATCTCAGTCATCTCTGGAAGAGAAAAGATCCAAGGCTAAAAGTGTCTACAGCTGGGATCCTCACATTCACATCACCAAATGCAAGCTCTGCCACTACTCATCCAAGCAGAGCAGGATGGACAGGACAGGGTATAGCTCTTCCCCTTTAAGAAGCCCCCTTAAGTCATTGCCCTTCATGTCAATCTTGACCTTCACCTCCAGAAAATGTTGAGGAATACAGGCATGCAGAATGTTTTGCAACAATTTCCCCTCTTCTCAAAATGTCTGTCTCTGAATTAGCTATGAAATTGATCATCAGAGCTTTTCCATGGGCATGCAGCCTGTGCATAGGAGGACCTTGCATTTGGTTTAATGATATTCTGCTGTGGTCTCGAATTTCTTGATGGATTTATCTTTGAACCTATATTTTATAAGTGAGGTCCAATGGAACAAAGGCACATGTACGTGAGAACATATGTGCAATGTGTGTCTGCCACTTATTGCTGCTGCTTCTCAAATTCTGGTGGGCCTAAAGTTGCGGAAATTCAGCAAGACTCAAAATGAATACAGGGTAAGTGTGTTATGTCTTCAACTGAGTAGCAGGGGAGCCAACAACCCTGAGAGGCCACATTTTCCATTGGACCAGAACTTGCTTCAAATGCTGACAGAAGGCAGTGGTGTTCTAAGAAACATAAATGACCAAGGAACCCTATCATATACTTTCTTACCCAGGTAACTTCTCTATATGAGCCAATAATTCATTCCCAAAATGATGACACAGAAGGAAAGGGAGAGGTAGGGTAATCACTAGTTTCTTTTCCTTCTTCACTCATCATAGAGATTGTTGGTAGAAAGCACACATTATCAAGAAGTAAAATGAAAAAAATGGTATTAGTTAGTGGCTCTGTTTCCACTATTCTGGTAAAAACAAAACACATCTGAATGTAAGAGCTATGAAACATAAATTGTGTGATTTTGTTGATTCTATATTTGAGTTAAATTTTCTTATAGTTGCATTCAAAACTGTCATCATACAGTATTAAGTAAATGGTAAAATTTACTTAACATTTCCATTTTTCTTAAGATGACATTAACTAGCAAATAAAAAATATGGTGACATCAAAGGAGACTGCAGAAGAAAGTGAAAGGCTTTATATTTCAGTACCTTGAACAGTTCTTTTCCCCCGTGCTTTTGAACAAGGTACTCTCTACCTTGTTTCTTTTTGCAACAAGGCCCTGCCAGTTATGTAGTCAGCCCTGTTGATCATGGGTGACACAGCACCGCTGGTGATAAGGCCAATTAAAGGGAGAATTTCAGTTAATCTAGCCACATCTGTTTTAATCCCCAGTTTAAAGTGGGGTCAGGGAAGAAATTTCTTGCTAGTAAGTGATAGAAAAGCAAGAGACTGATGAATCACATCTCTCTTTCTGGCCTTGAGCTTGTTACCAGGATGATAAAGTGATCAGCATTCTGGAAAACCCTTCGCTGCGCTACAAGCTTGTGACAGATGGTGCCACCTGGCCACACGTGTAATCCAGGTGTTAAGTGACACAGAGATGTGGAGCAGCCAGCCCCCAGAGGACTTCCCTGCCGTGCCGGCTTCCTACCTCTGAGCTGAGGGAGAAGGCTCAGGCCAGACTAACCCTAGAAACCACCCAGAGGAGAGCATGACGATTTGCCTCCTGGAGCCAGACCACCCACTCCTTACAACGGCGGTGTGGACTGCAGGCCTCTTAGCCCCTGAGGTCTCAGAGTCTTCACTAAAACATGAGCTTCATTATAGGGCTTGCTTAACAGACTTGCTAAAATGATCAAATGTCATAACCCATGTAGGGCACTAAACACAGGGTCTGCTACACCATGAGTTATAAGTATTAGCGATTATTGTTACCATTATTATTCTTCCTTCATGATGCAAGGAGAGCATGGATTCCTTTTAATTTCAGACCCTACCTAGGGATCAAATGGAGTGCTAAAACAACAAATGAGGGAGCTCCCAGTTCCCATTGACTTAGAAGAAGCTGAGATGGGTTGTTCTAGATCAGAACTCCTCCCCATGTGGGTCTGACCTCGTTCCCTGACTACCCGCAGGCCAAACCCCAGAATCAGCCTCTCTGCATCACCTCCGTCAAGGTCTAAGAATGCTCATTCCCACTCTCTAAACCTTGGAGCCGTAATTCTCAGATTCTCAGTGGCCACTCTAGATCTTGGAAATCAGAATATCTACATACACAGTCTGGGAATCTTTTAAAGCAACTCCCCAGGTGATTGTGAAGTAGGTGGTTCACACGTGTCTTCTTTATAAGCAGGGCTGAAGATTCTTCTGCCAGACCTTCCTGAGAGCTTATTTGCTCAGGGCGCTGGGCTGGGCTAGGCTGGGCTGTGGAATTTCACTGGGATGGAAATAATTAGTAGTTACTAACACTGAGGCTTCTTTACCATTCAGCCCTATAAGGACCACCCAAGCCACACAGGGATCAGAAACACCCCCGCTTCCACCCCCTATTCCCCGTCCCCTCCCGCCTCCCCCATCCCCTTGGTTCCTGGGAGAGCTGGTTACACAGCTGTGGGTCATCAGAGCTCTACAAATCAGAGGCTGGGTTTCCTAGTGACCCTGCTCACACCAGAACAGTAGTTTGATGACAATGACCACCATCAATACTGCTGTGCCTTTGTGTTTATTGAGCACCAAGTTCAGTGTGGCTCAGAGTGCCATATTCTGGTATCTGATCAAATGAATTTCTGTCCACCAAGTCAGTTTGACAGAGTTGAGTGGAAGAGCTAAATTGACTAAGCATCTCAAAGGAGAACATAATTTGGAATTAGAGCAATGGTGGGATGGTATTAGGATCAAAAGGTTGGAGCCAAATTGTCCTCTATGCCAAGGAGACAGAAGAACCAGCTCCTGACTTTATGAAGATTGAGCAAAGAAAGAGCCTGTGGAAGGGGGCCCTCCTCAGGGCAGTGTCTGGTCAGCCACTCAGGACGCTTGTTCTTCTCGAGGTGGATTGCACTATACTGCTCTCACCGTTGCTGGTTAAAAATGTATTATCAAGCAGCTGCCAGTCAAAACAGGTAGCCAGAAATAGTCAAAGCATTTTTAAAGGGGGCAGTTTTGGTGGGAAAAGTGGGCAGCTTTCAGCTTAGTTTGCTCTCCAGGATCTCTAGAACCCATTTCCTATGAATAGCAATGTGTCCCCTGCTCTCTTGCTCAAAGTTAAATGGTTTAATGTGAAAACTGAGACTAGGACCCAGTAGTTCTTCTTTGCAACACCACTTTTGTGGGGCTCCACTGAGTTACCAAATACCCAAGAGGCAATTGGCAAAAGGCGCAGGAGGCTAAACTCAAATAAAATTCTGCTTCCCAAATTGTGCTCTCCGCTTCCCTGTATTTGTAAACACACCAAAACCTCAGTCAGTTATGCCACTCTGCCCTCTCCTGGTACATCCTGTGATTGCCTCTGCTCATTTTCCCCACCTTCCCTCTTTTCCATCCCTGTAGCAGCACCGAGCACCGTCCTCTCACCTGAACTATTCCACAGACACCCACTAACCCCCAGCGATAATGGTCAATAGCAATTTGCATAGGTGGCGTTTGTTTAGTTTTGAACAGAGATGAACTTCATTAAGATATTCACCCCTTCACTCTCGTATTCAACAAAGGTTCAGGGAGATATGAAATGTGCATGATGAGCCTTGCTAACACAGACCCCAAAACCATATAAGAGAGCTGAGATGTGGCCCCAAGGGACAATGCAATCAGTGTGGAAGGAACCACCAGAGGTAAGAAAGCCCAGAGGAGGAAAAATCCAAGAAATCTTCCAGGAGTAGGTGATGTTGACACTGGGTGTTCACGGATGGGTAAAGTTTTGATGGGCTGAGCTGAGAGGAGATGGATTTTCTGTTAAAGGGAAAATCCTAGGGGAAATAAAAGATTCCAGGACAAAAAGCTCAGGGTGGTTTTGGAAAGCGGCAAATCATCACCTTTACTGAGCTTAGGTCATCCACAGTAGATACATGGGAGATAATTGAAAGGAGATATTAAAAATAAAAGGCATTTGGAATATATTAGGAAGATAAGAGGAGCGGTAGAATTTGGAGCTGGTAAGAAACAGAATCAAAGCCAGATCATTGGAAAAAAGATGCAGCCGATAGGTGATGCCTGAGCAGAGAGACCAGTGAAGAGCCTGATCCATAATTTAGCCCTGAGGGCAGTCACAGCATATGGAACAGGCAGGGCCTTGAGCACAGTTAGATGTGGTCATGAAGGAAAGAAAGGAGTGAAAAACGACTCGAGTGCTGTTTTTGGGTGACGAGAATGGTGACGGCATCGATAGAAAAGTGAAGGACGGAAAGAGGAGGAGCTTTTGGGAAAGGACATGTGCTCGGTTCAGAATTCACTGCATTTAACACGCCAGATGAAGCTACAGGGACCTGGGAGTCCAGAGGGCCAGGATTTTCCCATGTTCTTGACTTTCCAAAGATTCAAGACTTTCAGCAGTTCGTGTAACAGGATGAGTTAGTAAGAAGTATTGGGCTGACTGGTGTTAGAATCTCTTTCTCTGATCCCTGAAAAGAGATGGCAATATCATGCTTCTTGGAGCCCACTGAGAGCAATTCCACGGATTGTCCCAAGGGCAAGGGATGGAAGACAGTGCCCGAAGGGGAGGAGCAGGGGAGGGCGAGGGAGGCCTCTTAAGCTGAACAGGACAGAGTGTACTGCTCTGCAGTTTGTGCAGGAAGGAGGGGGCTGGGTAGGGCTAAGGGACGAGTAGAGGTAGAAATCCCTCTTGCCTGGGAGAAAGAGTGCTCTTTCAAGAAAAGCACCATCCTAAGCTGTGTCCTTGAGGTTACACCTGCCAGGAGGGCGCCTTTTTAAAGTCGCAGAAAGGGTCTATAGAGGCTCATAATGGCCTTGCCCAGAGAGCCGGAGCATTCCCACCCCAATCCCCCAAAAGAGGTAAATGTGATCCTCCAACTCCCACAGCCTAAATCTCATGTGACTACAATGCCCAAGATTGATATTCTTGCTAGGAGGAACTTGAAGTCATATTAATGTTACCTAGAACAGGAGAAGTTTTAAAGTTTAAAAAATACATTAAAAACAAAGTAAAATAATATGTGATTTTTCCATAGCCAGAACTGTAAAATAAAATTGCTGTTCTACATTTAGTATGTTGAGTTTTGTAAGCCTTTCTCCACCCCACCGGGGGGACTGCAAACTCCTATTGTCACAGTTCTCTGGGTCCAGTCATGGAGTGGAAGACCTCTTTCCCAGTGTTCCTCCTGAGCCAGGGCTTTGCTGGGCCCTTCTTGGGCTGCTGTCTCCATGTCGAGCTAAAGAGAGCTTACATGGATGCCCTGATAGATGCAAATGACCTGGGGTCACCACACTCCATGAATTTGAGTTAACCTGTGAGGGCTGGAAGCTAGCTACACACACTGCACATATATTTACCAAGATTTCATTGCTTCCCAGTTATTAAATTGATCCTCAGGCCAGCACAAGTTCAGGGCACAAGGAAGCAAATGTAACCCATGTCAGAGTGAACTTGAAGGAAAAAACGTGAGATGGGGAGGCTGCTGGTCAGGGCTGAGCCAATGGGCCAGGAGAGCTCTGAAAAGGTCTTCCAGGTGGCTTGGTGGAGTCTGAGGGTATGACAGAGACTGCTCTTTTCCTTCAAGGAACAGACAAATGGACAGGTCACTCCTCTGAGGTCTCAAACTCCTCCCCGCCCCCACTTAGCTAACTTCACATGTGGCTAGGGACCAGCCACAAATCAATCTAAGGGGATATCTGAAGATTATCCTTAAAATATAACATTTCTTTCTAATTACAAAAGTATGTAGTAGCTTACAGAAAATGCGGAAAATGTAGAAAACCTTGTAGAAGAAAATTTAAGTCATTCAAAAGTAAAACACTGTGGTGTATATGCATCTACGTAGCATTTTAACAAATTTGGGATAAGACCAAGGAGGTTTTTTTTATGCCTAAATTCTAAAAAGAATGTTAATCAAGAAATCTTAAAAATCCAGAAAAGTAGGGGAGAATAGAGCAAACATTTAGATACCTACCAGTCAGTTTTTGTCTGCATGCCTCTTGTTCTAAATTTTTGAACTTTTTAGTTGGAAATAATCTCAGTGTGTATTTCCTAAGGATAGTGGTATTTCTTGTATGACCTTGGCACTGCTGGCGACTTCTTAAATTTACATCGACACAATACTTTAATCTACCAGTCATATCTCAATTTTGTTGACCCAATAAAGTCCTTGGGGCCAATCTAGGGTCAGGTAATGCATTTTATTGCCACATCTCCTTAGCCCCCTTGAATCTAGAACATTTCCATAGCCTTTCTTTGTTTTATATGATGTTGACATTTTTGAAGAATACAGTCGTTATGGACTGAATATTTGTCTCCTCCCTAAATTCATGTTGAAACCCTATCCCCAATGGGATGGTATTGAGAGTCAGGGCCTTTGAAAGGAAGAAAATTAGATGCGGTCATGAGGGTGGAGCCCCCATGAAAGGGATTAGTGTGTATGAGAGACACGAGAGAGCTCTCTTCCTCTCTGCTCTCCACCATGAGAAGTCAGCAGTCTGCAACCCAGAAGCGGGCTCTCGCCCGAACCCCACCAGGCTGGCACCCTGATCTTGGTCTTCCAGACTCCAGAACTGTGAGAAATAAGTGTTTGTTGTTTATGAGCCCCCTGATCTATGGTAATCTGTTACGGCAGCCAGTGGACTAAGACAACAGTCTTAGTTGTCTGCTCTTTAATAGAATACTTCAAACTTTGGGTTTGTCCAATGTTACCTTGTGTTTAGGTTAAGATTCTGCATCCTTGGCCTGATTACTGTCCAGGTGACAGTCATCTGTCCGTTGTTGATGTTTCTACTGAACCCCAGACAAAGTTTTCCCCAGTTCTCCCACTGCATAATTTTCCCCCCTTGAACCAATTAGGAATCTGAGGAAAGATTCGAAGATAATGCAAACATGCTGCTGGTCAGCAAAATTTTCTCTTAGATTTAGATCCACTGATGAGTCTTGTCTTATCCAATCTTTACATGAGGGAGCAAGTGGGAGGAAGGAGAGCTCTGGGCAAAGAAATGTATTTTGGAAGGCCCAAGGGACAAAGAAAGGCTGTTGCTTTTAGGGAAGCTAAAACGTTTTTGTCTGGCTGTGTTTTCCAGGATGAGAAGGGAAAAAAATAGATGACAAGAGGTGAACAGAGCTCAGCTCATACAGGGTCTTTCAAGTGATGTGAAACTCATTTTCTCTTCAGCGGGAATGAGGAGTCAGTGCTGGGAGAGACCTCCCTGGCTGCGTGCGGAGGGCGCAGAGTGGACAGGATGGGAGCAGGGAGAGGACCTGGGAAGCTCGCCACAGGAGGGGCTGAAGACGGAGTTGTTCACAAAGCGAGGGCAAAAGCTCAGGGATCAGGAGGCCAGGTAGGGCAGGGCTAAGCAACAGTTTTCTGTCACCTCAAGGGCACTTGAGGAGTTGATGACTTGCCTGGGGGGGGGGTTGGGGGGGGGAAGGGAGTTGTGCAGCCAGGAAACATCTCCCTTTTCTGGGAAACTCGGAAACTTATACCTCCTTTCTTGCCAACTTGGTGTTGCTGGAAGAGTTTCTGTTGCACAAATGGGTAGGATGGAGGGTGGGGGGTGGGGTGGAGTTTGCATCAGAAGGATAGAAAGCAACCAGTTTCTCTGGGGGCAGTGAATTGGCCCATGTGTTTCCTTCCTGCCAGAGCATCAGAGCCTCTGGGCAGAGGTCCAGCACCAATGCCACACTCTGACCCCACCCAGTAGGTATGTCCCAGGGATGAAGGGGGCAGTGGCCCCCAGAACTGTTCTGGGGACTTAAATGTCAAGCCGTGCCTGAGGAAGATGAAATAAGGGTCAGGCACATCATCTAGAGGAGAAGCTTGTATCTAGGAGCTGGTTCATTCATTCACCCATCTAGTCATCAGTGGACAGTTACTGTGCTTCTGCTACGTGCCAGGCACTATTGAAGGTGCTGGAGATGCAGTGAATGAGACATCCTGGGAGGAATGGGAGGTGGGGATTTGGTGATAGTACAGGGCATCAGCACATCAATACCGTTGTAGCCAGGCACCCATTCACAGTCCGCTTCTTCTCCCAACCTGTCTGCCTTAGTCTACTTCCACCCACTGATTGCTGTTTTTGATATTAGTGCTCTAAGAGCAGTTGCTTAATGCTTCTCACAAAGCTTAAAGTCTCCCTTTATTCACACTTTATCAGTATAAAAGTTAGATCCCACATCTCACTAAGAGGGAAATGTGTTCATCTTCAGGAGCCCCAAGGCTTGGATTTGTTCTGGGGCATTCCCAATGTCTTGATGTAGTTTGGATCCAGCCCCTCAGGACACAAAGAACCCCAACAGGTGATGATGTGGGGGAAGCCCAGTTTGGCAAGGAAATAAGGTGGGGCGGGGTAAGGGAAAGCTACTCCAAATCCAAGTACAGTGGTGTCTCATCTCCTTGCCCCGTCTCCCAGCTCCACTGCCATTATACATTGGTTGTACACTGGTGACTTTATTCACTTAAGCATTTTTTGAACACACATTATATTGAAAGCACGTACTGCATACTATGGAAAGCTAAGGATTAATAAGTAAGGAGTAGAAGTAGATGGAATCAACCTAGGGCAAAGCATTGTCTCCTCAGCTCTAATCTGGGGTCACTCCGAGCCAAGCATAGATTATTCGCATGGTTCACATTGGGTCTTAACAAATCGTGGGATCCTAGAGCCCCAACTACTTCAAAACTAGGGCATTTCTCAGAGCTGTGACTCACCACTGCTGGCAATGTTAGAAATGTACCGATGACATGCTTTCTCCAGACCTCCTGGCATTGTTCTTGCTCATTGACAAAGTTCTGGAAATCAAACATAATTTACTACAAAAGCTGTGAAAGGATTTAGTCAGCACCAACTGACTACTTCTCTGTGTGTCATTTGTACCTGCAGGGTGGCCTCAGTCAGCCTGGGATTCTGAGTGCCGGCGTCAATGCTGGTATGCCTGCAGGTATGTGCTTGCTAGCCATTATCAAATGAGGGAAACACCCCTCATTTCACAGATGAGAGAACCAAGCTCCAAGAGATTAAGGTGCTTGTCCACTAATGCCCAGCTGGGAAAACACAGGGCCTGAAGGACAAGATAATAATAGCCATCATTTATTGTGCAATTACAATGTGCCAGGTGTTGCGTTAGCTGTTTATATACATCTTCTCATATTTAATCCCCACAACGATCCTGTCTGGGAAGTAATATTAACTGTTTTACAGATGGAGCCTCAGAGACTCAGATTAAGATTCGCTCTAGCAGAGCTGGCAATTGGCAAAGCCCACATTGGACTCATGTGTGTCGACAGAGCTGGAGCCCTTCTCTCTTCTGCACACATGTAGCTGCTTTCCATTATAACACCACTCCTCAAGCCTGGGGTGCCACACATGCTCTGTCACGAAACCCTGTCTCCAAAAACAATCATCCTGTGCCAGAGGACAAGCCCAGTTATCTAAAAGGGCAGCAGGAGGTTGTGGCCCTGCCGGCTGCTCACCCTTCTGCGCTAAGAAGAGGGAGTCTACTGACAGTGCGCTTGCTCTGGGAGAGTCTCACCACCTGCATCTTCTGGGGTGTCTAAGGGCTTTGTGGAGAGAAACCAAGCTCACTCTGTCCCTGGCGACATCACAGGACATATCACCAGTTCCTACACACCTTTCTTCCTGTCTTGGTTCCACATGCCCTCTTGGACAGCCTTTTGAAGTTTTAGAACTTGTGAATTTCAACAATACAGGCCCTAGGTACCAGGGATGTGGTATGTAAATAGCATTTAGAAGCTAGTGGAATTTCCTTTCAGGGGTGACGTGGACTTCACATCGGGTAGGGGCCACATTTCCTCCTATTCACAGAAGAGAAAGAGCAGAGGAGGAGAAACGGCAAACTGTGCAGACTTGTGTGGCGGAGCCACCACAGGTTTATAAATTTCCTTTGAAACAACATGCTGAACTGGCCTGATCATATACCTACAGTCCACGCTGTTAAATCCACAGCAGCTTTGTGGAGACCATCTATATTTGTCTGTGTCACATCGTAACATCACAAGCATTTGTACCTTGGGCCACTAGCTGGGGTAAGAGGCACATGCTGTAGTATCTTGTGAATCTTGAAGAACGATGTCCCTCTACAAAAAGTAGTGAGGAAAGCATAGAGATTTTTTTTTTAATTTGGATATCTCAAATTCACTGTTCTCTTTAGCCACCAACTGCAAATAATGGTAGAAACATCAATTAAAAACAACAACAACAATAA